CATCTGAAATGTGAAAAATTATAGTATCTGCTGCTCAATAATACGCATCTAAATAAAATGACAACTTTATTTTACATCTGAAGCGTCCTTAATTCTGTTCCATAGTTGACAAATCCTTAGATATGGCTAAAGTTCTGTACACTTGGTAATACTCTTTCTCGTTCACGATCGCTCACGCGTGCGCCGATACCATGCCGGCACCGTAGGCTGTAGCATGTTGATAAGGACGTGGGAAGCTGGTAGGATCGAAGACCGAGCGTGAAAATTTTGAACTTTTCATTTTACCTGACGACCGAAAATTTGTTTGAAAATGGAGAGGAGAAATAGAAGTGCAATTTGGAACCATTTCGATAAATCTGAAAACCTAAAAGCAAAGTGCAAATATTGTAGCCAAAACATCAGCATTGCAAGTGGTTCATTAGGAAATTTGTCAAGACATATGAAAGCTAAGCACCCTACTCTTGAAACTGTTGCTGAACGAGAGATACAAGGACCACTTGCTGACGGACAAAATCTGGATAATGTGCCTCACCTTCTTGAACCACAACCGGCAACATCAAACATGCAAGATGAGCGGGTAAATACTGCAGTACATTTGAAATATCCTGTGTCGTCGAGTACACTGCGAGAATATTTTGTTCGGCCTGTCCCCTCGTCAAAAGCAAAAAACTTAGATTTGCAGTTAGTGCGGATGATTGTCAAAGAGTACCAACCCATTTCAATTGTGGAAGATAAGAAATTCAAAAAGTTCGTCAACATGTTGAACCCAGGATATTCTCTGCCCACGAGAAAAACAATTTCTCAGACTCTCATACCGAATCTTTATCTTTCCGAACTTGAAAAATTAAAGAACCGGATGCAGTATGTAAGTGCAGCAAATTTAACCGTAGATTCATGGACATCTATAAACAATGAAAATTTTATTGGTGTAACAGTTCATTTTTTTAGTGACGATTTGAAACTATCTTCAGCGTTATTGAACTGCGAATGTTACGGGGAACGTCACACTGCGGAAAATTTGAGTAAGTTTTTATTGGACACAGTAAAAGAATTTAACATGGAAAATAAAATTGCCGCCTGTAGAACGGATAACGCCCCAAACATGATTGCAGCAGTGCGACGTTGCCAATGGCGTCATTTGCCGTGCTTCGCGCACACATTGAATTTAGTTGTACAGGAGGCAATTAAAGAGATTGGCGAAACTATAAAAAAAGTAAAATCTATTGTTGAGTTTTTCAAACGTAGCTCACAGGCTCAATCGAGACTGACTCATATACAAGAGCAGATGAGTTTACCACCTTGTAAATTGAAACAAGATGTGGAGACTCGCTGGAACTCCACATATAATATGCTCTCGAGGATAATGGAAGTCAAAGAGGCGGTTATTAGTACGTTAGCCATTCTAGAAAATGACTCAAGTTCCTCGTTAAGTAGCCATGACTGGAAGATCATCCAATATGGCACGCAAATTCTAAAATTGTTCCAGGATGTGACTAACGAAATCTCCGCAGAGAAGACAGTCACACTGTCCAAAACGCTTCCAATATTAAAAATAATGCGGAGAAAGCTGCACAGCCTCTACATTTTCTTACGCGGAGAATCAGCTCCAATTGAAATCATGCGTATGATGGAGAAATTAAGTGAACAAATACTAAAAAGATCTAGGAGCTATGAAGACAACGACCTTGCTTGTCAAGCAACAATTCTGGATCCACGATATAAAAAGCTTGGATTCACAGATGAACAAAAATTCAAAGCTTCAATTGAACAGTTGAAAACAAAACTTTCAGCAATGAATCCACCCAATCAGAGTATTTTAGACTCAAACCAGGAGGAAAATGAATCCAAAAGGGTGAAAACAGACTCAGACCTTTGGGACGATTTTGACCAAGAAGTAAAAAGTCTTTCTGGTGCACAAAGTTCGTTGGCAGGAGGGATTATAGAGCTCGATAAATATTTGGCAGAACCGCTTTTACCAAGAACAGAAGATCCTCTAAAATGGTGGCAGGAGAGAGCGAAGGTATATCCTAGACTGTTCGAAATGGTGAAAAAACGTTTATGTCTGATAGCAACATCTGTGCCATGTGAGCGGCTTTTTTCGAAGGCTGGGCAAGTCCTGACGGAAATAAGAAGTAGGTTAGGAGCTGACAAAGTTCAAAAAATAATGTTTTTGAATGGAAATTTATAGTTATGTTGATTTATCACATTTTCGTTTTAGTTTTGTTTTTTCCTAATTATCCTTGATAGGAGCTAATTTTTATTTCTTCTGGCCTTTGTAACCTGCAGTCAGCAGCATTTGTTATGTTTTTATAACTTTATGTTTTTGTACAATTTTATGTTGATTCTTTATTATTTATTTTCAAATAAATATTCTCTTTTCTGTGTTTTACTCGACGTTTCGATCACTGCTGATTTGCTGAAGTAATAGTTCTAACCATATAAGATCAAAGTCCACGACAATAAATATATGCTTAATATTAATCCGCAGTAGCTAAGTAGCTATCAAAAAGTATATACGTAATACGTATGATTCAGTTTGTATAATAATGTGCCGTTAATACTTGGATTGGTGACCGCTAGGAAACACCACGTGTAGTTAACTTTTCATCTTTTTATCAAAAACGTAAAAATATCTTCTGCTCAAATTCACCATAATATAATATCAACAACATTCTTTTGCATCTGAAAAGTTCCGAATTCTGCTCCGCAGATGGAACATTCTTAGATCTCACGAAAGTTCTTTAAGCTTGGCAACATTTTCCTATCCCACTCTCGGTCTTTCGTTCGTTCACAAGAGCGCCTCTCTTCTCTTGAACCTGTTTCGTTCTCTTTATCTCTTTCGTTCGTTGATTCGCAACGGCGGCAGTTCTGTTAGTTCGTGGTGAACGAGTGAAAGAGTTTCTCGGGGAAAGAGGAACTAGTTCATTTAGTTCAGTCAGAAGAATCTTTCGTTTGAACTAGTTCGTTCGCGAACTACACATCACTAATTCGCATGGACTCGGCAGCCCTCGGCGCCATTTTGGTGTACTATATACACCAGCGCGAGTAGTTAAAGGTTAATACTGTCACTAGAAACTTGCGAACACTTGCCTTAGATACAAAACACTATACCATGACTTATGGCCTGGTCCTCTTCAATCGTCGGAAAGCATTGTAGTTGCCCAGCAGCTGAAAAGTTTCTGCGTTGGGGTGTTGATCTGTTGATGCAGCTGACCTTCGTATCTAGCCACTACTGTCTTGATGTCGTCGATAACAAGAAGGATATTCAAATCGCAATATTACAGATATACCAATGGGCATTTACCAAGTTCCTAAAAACTTTATTTTGAAATTTTTGAATAATTTCGATGTTGGACCTCGTATTTTCAAGTATCTAAATATATAGTATGCTAATTTTATTTAAATAATTAATATCAATGTCTACGAATATCTACGATACCAAATTATCCTAAGTACTCGGCTTGAACAAAAGCAAATTTGACAGGCTATTCGCTAGGTGCGCGATAAAAGCGCCACCTAGCGGATGTCGGACAGAAATATTTGTGTTTGATACGTGCAATATGGCACATATTTCAACATAGAGAACGTCTATATTCCACTATCAGTCCGATCATGTTTCTCGACGATCGAATCAGTGCCCCCGATTATGCACTTCGCTCCTGCGAATACGTACAACCTTAAGCATTCTAGTAATGTGACTGGGTTACATAATAATATATTTATTTGAGCGGCAATTCCATAATATCTTAATTTAACATCAACATAAAATGTGAACATGAACAATTTTGAGAATAGCTTTTTCTCAAGGTAAATGATTGAAACAAAATCTCACCAGTTAATCCATTTTACATAATTAATACGTGCATCCTGTAAAAGTATGTGCCAAATAATATTCACACGTTTATACTCGACATTGACCTTTGATTAACATTGGTACTCTCGAATGGGATATTTAAATTTCTACGCTAAATTTTCTTCCCATTGTGATGCTAGATAACTATCTTAAGTAATGTGAGAAAGTATAATTGTCCTGAATTCCTCGTACCAACAAAATTATACTTAATTCCCCTAAGCAGCGTCATGACACATGCATAATTGTATACGCAATGTCCCACTCAAACGCAAATGCAGTTTCATGGGGAATCTACTAATGATATTGAAAACTGGTGGCTTGAGAGAAATGTTAAATAATTGCTCAATCAGAGAGCTATCTGTGTAGAATATTCGGTGACTGATTTGATTTGAGATTACTACAGCTGAGAGAAGCCACTTCCGCTAGAGTTCTGAGTTGTAGTAAGAAGCAGGAGCCTCATAAATCTGCCTTTCAGGGGTTTAGAATGCAGCAGCATCATGCAGAAGAGCCAAGCCCGGTGTCATGTTGAGCCGATTTGTTAATAAAATCTCTAAAATATTTGTTATCGGTACATGCTCATGACTCAGCTTTGATACACAGTCATTAATCACTGGCCCTTAACTTACTGACGTTATGACGCAGACCGCTTTTTTAACTATAAACGAGAACGGATAAAACTCCAGCCTCTCGTTGAATACTCACTGACTCAGTGTTACAGTCATTATTAACAAATGATTCGCGAAATATATTTCTGTTTCGCTTTTTAGTTCCGAAAAACACTGAACAAACTACTACCAGGAAGTACAGGAACGGACCCCTCGAAATTAGTTGCCCCCAATTAACATATTCGTAGCGGTCACAGGAACGCCATAACGATAATTAGGAATTAACAAGTTCTTTTTGTGAATATGTGACTTCTAGATTTCTCGAATGTTTACTATAATATATATTATAGTTTCGTGCAAGCTTTTTATAAAGCTATAATAAATTGGCGATGGAAAACTGACTTTCAACTATATTTTTTCTGCTTTTGATACCTATATGTTTTTCAATAAATGTAACTCGGGACTATGAACTTCAATGAGTCACGGAGACAATTACAGATTGCTCAAGCTATATCACTATAATACGTTTATTTCCTTTTCAGCTGAAAGCACTCCAAATGGAGTGGAACCAAAACTGGAAAATACTAACAGAAAAATCTCCAGCACTTGAAACCGAAATGGCAGTCCACCCTTCCAGACACCAGAAAATCATCAAGCAACATATCATTCGTTTGGAGAAAACCACCAGAAGCTTGAACAAAGAGAACTACTATCTCAAGGAAAAGATGGTCCAAATGGCAGACCAAATGAGTGTGCTGAGAGAGATGCTGAAGTCTCAGGAGGTCATGGAACAACAAGAGCTAGCCAATGAAAACAAAATACAAGCGATGCTCAGGGAAAATAAAGGGTGAGGAAATTGTGTACTCAGTGTTTTAAACCTGTACAAATAGAAGAGTACATTTCAGCATGAAAATACAGGCATTCTGAAAGCTTTTTTCAGAAATAATTACGCCTGAAATCGAAATTGCAGAAAGTCCGCATTGTTCATTTGATAAGGAAAATCAAGTGCCGCCGCTCGCTTCCAAAATTACACGTTAGTTGTCTAGATTTTTCTGTGTGCCCACCTTAGTGTTGCTGGATGCGACATGTGTCTCTAAAACTTTTCGCGAAATAAAGTCACACGGTGCGGAATGGAAACGTCCATAAAAACAATCTGAATATTCGCGAGGCATCAGCAGCATCTTCAACACACTGACAGTAAACTGAAATCAAAGCGAAAAAATAGATATTGCTATAGGAATGTGTCATGTTATCTTTTTTTCAAACCCGTTTCGTAAACAAATCATTCGGTTCACCTACATGACGCTGATTGGATGACGCATCGTATCTTTCCACCTGCCGATTTCTGGAAGCAGGGCAAGATTTGATATCACAGATTTTTTCGGAACCGATTATCTCGATGTATGACTACGAATATTTCAGGAAAAAATTTGTACAAGAGCTATACGCAGTATCAAAGAAAGTCCCAACTTTAAGAACACCTTGTATTGTGTATTTCAAAATGATAAAGCTCTATCAGAGCCGGGTGCATCGGATGGCTCTTATTTGATAAGTATTTTTACATCCGCTTCATCCCATAATTGACTATTGACGATATGAAAAAACATCAACACCATGTCTATTCCCCTCCAGGTACCCCTTGCGTCGCGACTTGGCGGAGAAGATAGCCAACATTTCTGTTCAACAAGAAATTAACACAAACGCCCTAAACAACCTAACGAAACAACTGTTGGATTTCGACAAGCTGCACCTCTCCATGCTGGAACTCCTGGAGAATGTGGAGGCCATCGAGGTCAAGGTGGACAAGAGCATCCCAGAGCTGCGTAGGGAGATCTCAAAACTCGAGATTCAAATGGCCGAAGCCTCGGCAACTGGGTCATTGTTGAAGGAAGACCAACGAAATATCATGAACAGCCTGAAGGCTGTGACTTTTACGGTGTCCACAATGCAGGACAAGACAAATGAAGACCATGAACGATTGCAGAAGGTGGACGAGATGGTACAGAATTTGGTCAAATCGAATACGCTGCAAACGTCAAAGTTGCACGATCACATTCTGAAGGTAAATTTTCATGGGATGTATGAATTATCTACAGATGTTGCTCAGTTGATTCTGTAGATAGCATGACAATCTCAATATTTTGTAGACACTTTAAAAAATGGAATATCGAGATAGATGTGATACCTCTATAATATCTCATAAGTAAAAAAAAACTACTTTAAACATTACCCTCAAAAAAAGCATAGCAATTATTACACATTTTTTAACATTCACTCTCTAACGACTTTACGTACGGACCCTGTTCCTTATCAATTATCATTTTGCATACGATGTTAAGTAGTTTCTCAGTAGATATCTGTTACTCTAGAAATCCCCAAAATCCGAAACTACTTCGGCTTTAAGATAAGGATGTACGAGTAAGTTTTGCATATAGAAACATAGTAGGCCGCGCGGATCGAACGCCAGTACTGAATCTTAACCTCACTCTTTAGTAAACTTAAATTCAAAGTTTCACAACGATACGTACAGTGTTCTCACTACAGTAAATTTTTACGTGTCGCCAAGTCATTAGAAAAATGGAACTCAACCGAGAACATTTTCGCGCCATAATTTATTACTACTTTCAGAGACAATTATCGCATATAGTCCCGATCTAAGTCCTAACGATTTCTTTACTTTCCCGAAAATTAAAAACAGACTGCGTGGCCAAAGGTTCCAGTCACCAGAAGAAGCAGTTGACGCATGCAAAAATGCCGTTTTGGAACTGCCAGCAAACGAGTGGAATAATTGCTTCGAAAATTGGTTCGAGCGCATGCAGATGTATATTAATCTTCGTGGAGAATACTTCGAAAAACAATAAAGTCATTTTAAACTACCTTCCGTGTTGTTTTATTTCCATATGCAAAACTTAAAAGACATCCTTCGTATTAACTATATTGTGACGAAATTTAGATTACATAAATGACTTTCTTCTCCATTTTTTATAGGAAGAGTCAAGTTCAGTGAACCTGAATGCAACAAAAGCGACTATACGTTTAGTGCAAGAGCTTCGATCTTTTGAAAGCGAATACAAGGACATAGTCAATAAACTACCCAGGGATTGTAGTGCTGTGGACGGACCTAGTGGTCTTTACTTGATATCACCTGGAGATCAGGTAATGATTACCAATTTTTATTTCCCTATTACATCGTACAATATAATGTATAAAAATCGAATCTTGCCATGATTCCTCCTCAAGAAGTTAACCGCTGCCCAAGAAACACATGTTTCCTTCCATCGAGAGAAGTATTAAACTAATTGCTCTTTTTCCATCTCTTGCCAAGCTCTGTATACTGTACACCATATAGGGGTGAAACTGAGTCACGAAAGTGCGGATACTATCAAATTCTTGGATTAATTATCAACCTATATAGCTGCTGAACAATTTTCCCACGATATACTTTTTGACTTCGTGACACGATTCTATTTTGGGGTGCTTGCTACTTCTCAGACCTTTAGTCATCATTGCTATTACAAAAACACGCTATCAGACTATATAAACTGAGACACGGCAACCTAACAACTTTCGAAGTTTCCTCTTAAAGAAAACTATCTACTTGCCATAATAAATCCTTGTTCATATCTCGTAGTAGCGCTGAGTACGGTCCAAGGCGAATAGCATATTTCAATTACAGAGATTTAATAGTCCTAGAAAACAAACAACTTAGGGTAAACCTAAAGGTGCGGCATTTTTCGACGCTAAAAACGTCCAAATTTTAAGTTGATCGCATCTCTCGCTCTCCTCCATGAGGCCGCCGCGCGTTGTGCCTGCCCGGCGGACCCATCAGGCTTCTACCTCCCATCGCACCTCTGTCGAACCTCGCACATCAAGAACTAGCCGGTACGACCAGTCCTTCGTGCTAACCTTGGGCAGTTCAAAATCGAATTAACACTTCATCTTCCTTAATGGCAGTCGCGGTGCCCCGGTAATTAGGTTACTTCCAATGCTGCTGCAGTATAAAAAAATCTATGGAAGTTTTGCATTCAATTATTACAGATTATGTATATGTTACTGTGAAAGTCCGAAATACGGTGAATGTCGAGATCGACCAGTGAATGTCTACATTCACCAAGTTGCTCGGCGTATATCCGAATTATTGGTTAAATATCATTATTTCTGACATACACTGGCGAATGTCAACATTCACCATACGCTTTTGGTGTATGTTGAAAAACAAATTTTTATGAAATAAAAGTAAAACTCATATTATTAGGAAGCTATTTTTTATACAAGGAGGTCAATCTGTTAACCACATATTCTTTGGGTGAAAATAATAGGATTCTCATATGCCATTTTTCATTTTGAGGTTTCCTGTTCAGAATACAGGGTGTTGAAAATCGGTAAATAAATTTTTTTGCCAATAATCCAGGCATTTCTCAAAATATCCAAATAAAATTTATAACATATATTTCTTTTATTGAAGCACGCATTTCGCGGAAATTTGGTTGAAAACAATGGGAAATTGCAATATAAAAGTCCTATTATTTCCACCCAAAGAGTATGTGGTTAACGGATTGACGTCATTTTACCGGACACCCTGTATATGTAAATAATGTGTTAATAAGCTTAAGAACATTATTATTGTATTTGAAACAAACAGTTCAAATAACGAAGGATAACTAAAATAATATCAAGATTTCAGCCGTACATAAACAGTTTGAATTTTTTATATACAATATTAAAAAAACTTTAAATACAACATACAACCTCATAGGTAATATTTTTGTCTTCATTTGTAATTTATTGATTCTACCCACATGGCCTGTTCTTATGCGAGTTTGGAAAGTATATCAAACAACTCTGCATTTGTAACATAATACTGGATATTAGTTTCACCTAGTTTTAATGGAACAATTAACTTTTCATCATCACTAACTTTTAATATGTCAAATCGCCTGTAGTCGAGAGATGTACTGCACTTACTTTTAGCAGAATTCACTTCAAACACGATTTTAGAGTACCTTTCTTAAATCAAATAGAAACAAGTGTCTTCTCGTTTACTTTCCATTAATGCTTGTAACTTTTGAAAAAACTGATCACGACTTACTTCAGTAGCCATTGATTACAAAATAATATAATCCCTAATATCAAATTAACTTGGCAAGCTTGCACGCACCCGCTCTCAAACCTTGTGTAAGACTGATACGAAGGCAACACGGAACACGCTACTGCCGAAAAGCCACTCACAACAGATCATTTTCGACATTCACATTCAAACTATAATGATATTTATAAATGTTCTGTCTTTCACCAAGCCATTTGGTGTATATCGACACTCACCGGTGAATGTCGACGTTCATATATATTTTAAACATTCGTCAACATTTTTCTTTTTACCTAGGTTATTGTTTGTTCTTTAAATGCCCATTGCTTGCAGTTTTTTCATTTTTTCCAAAATTCAACCATTTTCGAAGATGTTACTTACAATGTTTACATGAGCGCATCGTTGCAATGCTTCTAACTTCAGTTCTCTAATGAAACACACTGAGAGTAAAACACATAATTAAATGAAAGTCTTGCGTATTGTGCTCATATTAAAAACAAAAGTTGAAACAAATTAATTCACAATTCAATGAGAAATACAAGTTTTAATTTTATTGCGAGCGCAGTGAACCAAAACTTTAATTTTTATATGTTTTATGTCTGTTTCATGTTCGAAGCGTTGCAACAATTGCTCATGTAAAAACGGTAAGTTAAATATTCGAAAATCGGCGAATGTTGACAAAAATGTTAAATTTCCGAAGACCTTAAGCTTTCAAAGAACAATAAAGTACTAAAATAAAAAATATAGATGAAAGTTTGAAATACATATCTTTTACAATATTAAACGCAAAAATTTCATAGTTGTGACCAAATTAAAATTTGGCGTATTCTAAAGGCTCTAAAAACCTTTTGGGGATCCTGACCCTTTACAAAACGAAAATAAATGACATTTAAAAATGTTGAGGATAAGATGGAGATCTGTTACCGAGTAAAATGCTTTTATTTACGCAATTACTTTTCTCAGAGCTATGACCTTTTTTTGGAAGTCACCACAGCGTTTTGCGATATAGTAGAGTTTTTGGCAGTGATGGGCGTTTACGCGTATACATTAGTTGTCTACGTCTCGATGTATTCAATGAATATGTCGGCGTCAAACGCTGAAATCCGTCATTCCATGAAATGTCTAGCCGGCAAACACCGTAACAGTTTGATTATTACAACGCTTGACTAAGCATTCCCTGTAATGACTGAACAATTTCAGTCAAACACCGTAACAAGCACATAAACTTCGTTACTGCATTTGTCTGATTCAGTCATTCATTGCACCAGTTTTGTGTTCATTTGCTTGAGTACACACATCGTCTTTTCTGTGTCTGTAAAGATGTCGCAGTATTCAGAATTGTTTTACAAGAAACTAAGTGAATACTATGACCGTGTGAATAAGAAATAAGAAAAAAATGAAAAAGCACGGTTTATCCAACTTCTTTGTAATTCAAGGTGCCATAGAAGTCTAACATGCGCTAACAAATAATGTTTGAAATAATATAAAATAATTCTTTGTTACTTTTATTCGTTTGGTACCACTCGCAGTTCTGCATTTTCTTTTTTTTTTTCAATGTGTACCTATTTATTGTTTTATCTTTATTTCGATAGTTTCAGGATATTTATTGTTGATTTAATACACTAATGATTAATGGCCACAATAATGTAATAATAATCTTTTTTATCTATTCTTCTTTCCTTTTAGATTCATCCATGCTTGAATATTTTTCTTCCAATATTGTTGATAAAGTAGTACTTTGTTAGATTATGTACTTTATTGGAGCAACACTGTAATGATTACGGGATTACAGCGTTTGACTAAAATGGCGAATGCAGTAACGAAGTTAATGTGGTTCTTACGGTTTTTGACTGAAATTGTTCAGCCATTACAGGAAATGACTGAAATGCTTAGTCAAACGTTGTAATAATCAAACTGTTACGGTGTTTACCAGCAATTCAGGGAATGACGAATTTCAGCGTTTGACGCCGACACATTGCGAATACAATGAATACAATGTATACAATGATGAAGACAATGTATAGAATAGCATAAGTGAGGTTAGATTTAATAGCAAACGTCAGAAAGTTGGTGAACAGTGAACCGGCAACTTTTAAAAAATATGTTTGGTCGCCTCAAGAACAAAGAAATCGATGAACCAGGGTTCATTTTGTTTAAAAATGGAAATACATATCCCGTAGAGTGTAGTGTCTACAAAAAAAGTTGTCCAATTCCGCTATATCTCGATTGAAATCACACGTATTTTGTTTTATTTTACTCAAGAAATGCTCCTAATTTTTGAAAACTGTATCATTGTATACATATACGAATCTGAATAAATACATATTACATATTTATACCCTTTCTCATTATCTATAAACTGCTTTCACAGTCAAACCAATAATGCAATGTTGCAGAATTTGTAGCGATCCTGAACTTTCAGTTCCACCTAAAATCGGAGAACCATTAGGATCGATCCGGAATTGATGCTAAACAGATTCGACAGAAATGTGTATTTGGGCGTAGAAAACAAGGCATTGCAGCAAGTTATATTCGTGTTCTGTGGCCTTCATCACTGTTGTGCAAAGCAACGTGGTGTGTGGCGCACTCTTTCTACACAAGTGGTGCCCGCTTCTCCCCCTCTCTCTCTCTTCCTCGTACACATGGAAATCTTAAAGGGAAAGGAACTTTCGCCAGCACTGTATGCAAGTAGTGGAACTATGATTCGATATTGTATACATTGTATACGTGAAAATCGAGACGTATATACGAGGATTTACCCAAAAATAATCGGAATAGCATTACAGTGGTAGGAGCTTGTGTAGTACACATTTCTGCCGCTAGAGGCGTACAGCGCAACACATTACCAGTTCAGTCCCACCTGATCTGTCGATCTGGCTTGTTTCGTTCCTCTGTAGTCAGTATTTTAGCTAGAGCTGTTTTGTGCTTGTTTCGTTTTTTACGATGGCAAGCTTCAGTAAGTAACGTGCAGCTGTGAAATTTTGCTTTCTAATTGGTAAAAATGCTGCTGAAACTGTTTTAATGTTGAAAATAGCTTACAAAGATGTTCCTATGGGAAAAACTCAGGTGTACGAGTGGTTTGCTCGATTTAAAAATGGCAACATGTAGCTTGATGAAAAACGTCGCTCTGGACGTCCATCAACTGCCCGAATCGACGAAAATGTTGAAAAAATTCGAGAGATTGTAGATCGTCGGCTAACAATCGATTAACTATCCGTAAGTAGTCGGTTGTTGTTCTAGAATTCGGTTCAGCGAATTTTAACAGAAGATTTGGGAATGAAAAGGGTTGCAACCAGGTTTGTTCCTCGGGCTCTGACTAACAATCAAAAAGAACACCGAGTTGAAACATGTGCTTTGAAACAACAGCTTGAATCTGATCCAAATTTTCTGTCAAAGATCATCACTGGTGATGAGACTTGGTGCTACGGTTATGACGAAGCAACAGTCAAGTTAATGGACGACGCCATCGTCATCCTGTCCAAAAAAAATGTCGTCAAGTCAAACCAAACATCAAAACAATGCTGATTTGTTTTTTTGATTTCAAAGGCGTAGTCCATTTCGAGTTTGTTCCCCCAGGTCACACTCTCAATCAGACCTTTTATTTGGCCGTTTTAAGACGATTGCGACCCGATTTGTGGCAGTCAGGAGACTGGTTCTTCCACTACGATAATGAACCTGCGCCATCTCTGTTCGACAGTTTCTGGCTAAAAATGGCATGGTTCCGCTGTCTCACGCACCTTATTCGCCTGACCTGACTCCGTGCTACTTTTCTTATTTCCACGGATGAAAATTAGGATGAAAGGACGTCGCTTTGTCGACGTTGAAGAGGTCAAGAAAAGAACGAGGGAGGAGTGTCAGACATTTCGAAGGAAAACTTTAAAAAATGTTCGAGCAATGGAAGCACCGGTGGGACAAGTGTATTAGCTGTAGTGGACAGTATTTTGAAGGAGATAAAATTACTTTGTGGGAAAGTTGAAAATAAATAGCTTTTAAAAAATAATTCCGGTTTTTTTTTGGTACCCCCTCGTATTCATCATTTTATATGCGTATAAAATGGTGAATACATGATGTACACAATGCGCCCATCACTGGTTCTTGATTATCCTTGATTTTCTTTACTCACTGTGAGATTTTTTCTCATACTATATTTTGTAGAAACATTTATTATATTTCATGTTTAAGTTTATCCGACCCCTTCAACCTTTTCAACAAAAAATTATTTCTTATTTCTGGTTCATTTTGACACATTTTACTTGTTGATTTCCAGGAACCCATCTTGGCGAAATGCGATTCAGGCTGGACAACAGTACAAAAACGCTACGACGGCTCTATCAACTTCAATAGAGATTGGAAAGAGTACTCCAATGGTTTTGGGTCTGCTACTGGTGAGCACTGGCTTGGAAACAAGCATCTGCACCTCATCACCAAGGAGAATTGCACTAGGCTTCAGATCAACATGAAAGACATCTACGGAGAGTACTGGCAAGCCAACTATGATGACTTCAGGGTTTCGGACTACCAAAATGGATTCAGGTATGTATCAAAGCCAACACTTTATACTGCGGTAGAAGCTTTAGAAATTATAAAAGTGTGTAGGTTACCTCAGGAAAACGTGTATGAAAGCATAAATTATTTCTAAAAGTCAAAAGTAACATATTTTTGTGAAGTAATGTCCAAATTTCGACTATCACAAATGTTTTCTACCATCTTCTTGGATGCGTTTTGAACAGTCAAATTTCAAATGGATCTCGTCTGGCGCTTACGCAATTATATGTATTCTATTTATTTCTTGCAGATTATATATAGGAGAGTACAAAGGCAATGCAAGTGATGCACTGAACTACCAAAATCTGATGGAATTTTCGACAGTTGATAATGATCGAGACATCTCGAACACCCACTGTGCCAGTAACTATGAAGGAGGCTGGTGGTTCTCACATTGTCAACATGCGAACCTCAATGGAAGGTAAGACTATGATTTTTTACATTGAATGACTACTCACTGGACAAGATACAAGGCAAACGAACTGAAATTGCATCTTGGTAGAAATGTACCGGATCTGGGCGTAAAGCGTGGCCACCACTCGCATAGGTTTTCAAATCTTTCTTAACAGCATCAACTTCACACGGCCGTGAAAAAAATGGATAAAGCCTGTGTCGAGGTGGTTTTATACAGGGTGCGGCAGAGAGGATGGACGGTTTTAAAAAAAACATAAAATAGTTAATTTTTACTCGGAAACAAATTTATTGATGGAATCAGGTTCACAAGGAAATAGCATTTGAGACAGTCAAGTGTGGAAAATCACATCAGGCATGTGGTGGCCGAAATCGTTGATGCAGTGCTGGAGACGTTCTTGGAAGTTCGCGTAGGCTCTCTCCAACATCGCTCTCTCAACTTGGGCGACTTCCACGCGAATTTCGCCCTTCAATTCGTCCAGAGTACGGGGCTTCTTGGCGTATACTCTAGCCTTGAGGTGTCCCCATAAGAAAAAATCGCATATGGATAAATCTGGGGACCGAGGAGGCCAATGAACAAACCTGGAAATAAGGCGACCAGGGCAGAGAGGGCGAATAACGTCCATGGATGTTCGGGCTGTGTGGCCGGTCGGCGGTCGCCCCATCCTGCTGGAACCACACACGTCGGATTGGAACACGTCGCCGTCGTAATTCAGAGAGAAAGAAGTTGGTGATCATGTCGACGTAGCGCTCTGAGTTCACGGTAAAATCACGACCATTACCGTCTTCGAAGAAGTAAGGGCCAATGATGCAAGTTTGCGATACAGCGCACCAAACCGTTACTTTTGGGCTGTGCAGCGGTCTTTCGTGTAACTGTTGCGGATTTTCATTAGCCCAATAACGACAATTCTGCTGGTTAACCATGCTGTTTAGGTGAAAGTGGGCTTCGTCACTCATAAACAAAATGAGGTTCTCACGTGCGAAGTTCATTCGTTGTGCATAATCTCCGGGCTGTAACTGTTGCACAATGGCCAATTTGTAGGGGTGAAAGTGGAGATCCATATGCAAAATTCGCCTTACCGAACGATCACTAAGGCGAAGTGCAGCAGCATGTTTCCAGGCAGATCGACTCGGACTGCGAAGACAGACCTGTCGAACGCGTTCAACATTTTGAGGAGATCGAACTATTCGCGGCGCTCCTCTTGGTCTCCTGTTGATCAGTTCATCACGCCTGCGAAGTGATTCAACCCAACGAAGGATGGTGTTTGGAGAGGGAACAGCTCTATTCCGATGAATGTTGAAGTGGCGACGAAACTCACGCTGTACGACGATGACTGACTCATTATTTCGGACGAAACAATCATAGGCGAAAACGCGGTGCTCCACCGTCCAAGGCTCCATAACGACAACTGGTAAAATAATGCTCGTCTCTCACGAGTCAAAGGGCACCCTCCCCACTTCTCTCGTAGACGGAGGCGGAGAGTACTACCCATTCCAAAAACGTCCATCCTCTCTGCCGCACCCTGTACTTTCCAATACATAATATCGTATTCCTTATTTTCCAGGTACAACCTAGGACTGACCTGGTTTGACAGTTCCAGGAACGAGTGGATAGCCGTAGCAGAGAGCGAGATGAGAGTGAAACGGAGAGATGTCTGCTAATGAGACAACCATAACTGATAGCAGCAACAATGGTTGAAGTAGTAGTCTACAACCCTTGTTTCAACTTAAGGCAGTTACCACATCTCATGGCCGATACATTGAGTACTCTCGTGCCAAAAGGAAGCAAGGGCTGTTCCCAAAGAGTTATGTTCCAAAGAAAAAACAGCAAATTTGTACAGATGTAAATATCGTAATATCGTTTTAAGAAAAAACCTGAATTTTATAGCCTTTTTGACTAATCAAAGCTGTAATGTTCAGACATCGCAACACGGCACAACATATTTCACTTTAAAGCACAGGGAATAAACTAGCATCGGCGTCCACAGAGGGGTACCAGGAGCCGTGGTCTACCTTGAAAAACCAAAATGTGCATATCTAGAATGAATGTGTGTACAATTTTGTTGATTTTTTGAATTTGGTACCCACAGAAAAAAATTCTCTTCTAAAAGTTTTAGGAGCAGAAACACTTTCACAAAAAGTTCTCTTTCCAATAATCGCCCGAGAAAAATTCCTGCGGGCGCATAATTATGTAAACTAAGGTCAAATTAAAAAAAATACAAAAAACATTTTATTCTAGTGCACCTTGTGTAGTGAGTAGGAGACTAAAAATTCTACAGGGTGTCCCGAAAAAAGTGTACAATATTCTACCAGCGATTTCTAGAGCTTAAAATAGGAAGAACAGTTTATATAAACATAGGGCGACAAACGTCCCCTAAGGGCGCTACGGTCTTTTAAAGGGCTCCCCTGAAGATGGTTTTTCCTTAATATTTCCGAAACGTGTTGAGATAAAGACATAAAATTTGGTATTTTAGACAGTTTTGTTTGGACGCGTATGTAACAGGGACGAACTCAGGTTATTTTAGCCCCAAAATTTTTGTGTGATTCTACTTTTGAAATTCAATTTTAGAATTTGAAAATTTAGGGTTTTCTACATAAAAAAGGTATTCTTATTGAATATCGATAAATTGTGCCATTTTTGAATAAAATCAAACCAAAAAATTTGTCACATGATAGGAAATGTACTGCGAATTTAAATGAATTGTTGATTATACATAGTTAGCCATGACTGCAAACAAAAGTTGTTTTGATTTGTTATGACTTATTTTGACGTTAAGCTGACATTGTTAGCAGTGTAAAATTACTAGATTAAAATCAAAATTTTTATTAAATCGGTTTAAAATGCCAAGATTTACAGACAAAGAACTGACTGACATGCATTTTGTGTACGGGTTTCTCAATCGCATAGTACCTGGACGTCGAATGTTTACTGAAATTCACCGGAATTTGTCAAACCATGGAAGTTTTCAGCGCATGCAGGGCTCAGGAAGGCCCCTGGGAATTCATCATATGGATATTGCTTTAAATATGTTTGAAAATCATCCGCAAATAAGCATACGAAATGTTTCAGAAATTATGGATATACCTCGATCAATAGTAAGAAAAATTTATGAATACCTATTTGATAGTTATCCTAAAAATAATAATTTTAGATAGGAAGAATGACAAGAATGCAAGGATTACATCCTTATCATTTTAAACGGGTGCAGCATTTAACGGAGGCTGATTTTTTACCACGAATCGAGTTTTGACAGTGGATATTAGCAAATGAAAACACTATTCCTAGAAATTATGGTCGGACGAGTCAATATTTACTAGTAATGGTGCTTTTAATTTCCATAACATGCATCACTGGTCAGATGAAAATCCAAAAGTTGTTCGCAGTACAAATTTCCAACATAGATTTTCATTGAACTTATGGGCAGGAGTAATTGGGGATCAAGTAATTGGGCCTATTGTACTTCCCAATCGTCTTAATTCAGAGGTGTATCTGAACTTTCTTCAGAATGAGCTCATGGATATAATACCATTGGATGTGCGCCAGCAGTTTCAAGAAAATATATTTTTGCAACATGATGGCGCCCCTGCACATTTTGGACGCAATGTTCGAAATTGATTGAATGTCAATTTTCCACACAGATGGTTAGGCCGAGGAGGTCCTATAGCGTGGCCGCCACGTTCACCTGACCTAAATTCGTTGGATTTCTATTTTTGGGGGTCATTAAAAGACCTAGTTTACTCGACTGAAGTAAATACTCAAGAAGATTTACTTCAAAGAATCCATCAGGCTGCAAATGAAATAAGAAGAAAAAGGTTTTCCACTTTTCGGGCTACGCAATCATTAGTTCGTCGAGCGAGACTCTGTATCCAACAAAATGGGAATTTATTTGAACACTTATTGTAAAGCTAGTTTTAAGTATATCCAACTGTATGTAACTTCTTTTTCAAAACAAATTTCAATTTCGTTCGTAGAAAAAAATTATTTCTTTTGTTTTTGCCTAAATGTTAACTATGTTGCAATAGAAATATGTATTTATGTAATATTTACCAATTATTAAATTTTTTTCGTTGCCATAGATAATTATTCAAGAATTCATTTTAAATTCGCAGTACATTTCCTATCATGTGACAACTTTTTTAGTTTTATTTTATTCAAAAATGGCACAATTTATCGATATTCAATAAGAGTACCTTTTTTTATCTAGAAAACCCTAAATTTTCAAATTTTAAAATTAAATTTCAAAAATAAAATCACACAAAAATTTTGGGGCTAAAATAACCTGAGTCCGTCCCTGTTACATACGCTTCCAAACAAAACTGTCTAAAAGTGTTTTAATATTTTTAAATCCAGCATAAAAAACTAGGCTAGGATACCAAATTTTATGTCTTTATCTCAACACGTTTCGGAAATATTAAGGAAAAACCATCTTCAGGGGAGCCCCTTTAAAAGACCGTAGCGCCCTTAGGGGACGTTTGTCGACCTATGTTTATATAAACTTTTCTTCCTATTTTAAGCTCTAGAAACCGCTGGTATAATATTGCACACTTTTTTCGGGACACCCTGTACATGTTCCAACACATGTTGAATCGAAATATAAGCTAGTATGTTTTTCGAATGTGGGAAAACCGCATTTCCTCGCCTAATGTTGTACAGTCTAAAGTTATTTATTATTCGTATCACTCCTAATGCGTGTATAATGTCACAAACTATTTTTTATGATAATTGTAGTTTAATATAATCTCGGAATAATATTTTTGGGTATCCACTGTAATACTTTTGTTTGTTTCTTCATATACAGGAAAACTCAAACATCATATTGATATTTGACTTTCGAAATGTACTGAACCAAAGAAATGTACTAGTTATGTGTTGAAGCTAGGTACGCTTTGTAAATAGTAGTTAGTAAGTAGTTTGGCCATACTATGTATGTATAGTTTGTAAAATATATTTATTGTTTTAAACGTAAAAGACTGTAATGCCAATGATATATATTTTTAAATAATAAGTACCTACTGCAGTATTATTTCAAATCCTAATACTTTCCCAAAACGGGTCCCGTGGCCACGGAGCTATAAACAGAAAAATAAATAAAAATCGCTCAAAACATGGGTGTTCGTAGCTACTATAACTTGTACCGAACATGATAGTTCAAGAACTTATGACAGCGTTGCGTGAAAAGTGCAAAGTCAACCTACTTAGCTGCTTTCTTATGTATACTGTCGGAATCATTCTCAAATCATTAGCTTTGCTCCTAGCTTCATCACAAAAAATATCATGTTATAGATCACAATACATAGAACAAAAGTGTCCGTAGACCCAAAGTTTTCCGCCAGGTAGTCTTCGAGATACAGGGCATCCAACTTCAGGCAGCCCATACCCTATTCCCATTACAGCGTATTGTGGGCCTGATACGTAGTAGTTACTTGATATTTATTTACGTTCTCATCCTTGGTACCCGGTTCACAAATATAGCAGTTTAATCACATGTACAGGTTGACCCAAACTTTTATGAATGGAGTATTGCTCCGAGACAAACTTTTTCAAAAATTATTCAAGATGATGCTGTAAAAAGTAAACGCAATAGACGCACGACTGAACCCGAAATAGCAGCGGACTTGAATGTGAGCTGTTGTAAACCTGTACGTGTAACTATAGTTAAGAGAAGGTTAATCGAACCTGGACTTAAGGGATGCATAGCAGTATCGAAACCACTCCTCAGGGCTACTAACAAAAAAAAGGAGACTCAATTGGACCGTTGCTGTCTGGAAGAAGGTCCTCTGGAGCGGATGAATCGAAATAAGTTTTTGGTTCCAAGAAAAGAGTATTTGTCTGCCGCCGGCCTAAGTAGAGGGCATTAGAATCATGCACCGTCGCTTCAGTCAAGCACGGTGGAGGCTATATAATGATTTGGGGCTGTTTTGGAGGTTCTGCTCTGGGGGATATTGTGAAAGTACAGGGAATACTGTATAAAGAAGGTTACAAAGCCATACTACAAAATCATGTTGTGCCTTCTGGGACTCGTCTTATTGGTCCGGCGTTTGTCTTTCAGCATGATAATGATCCCAAACACACATCCAAGCTCTGTAAACAATTTTTGGGAGCAAAAGAAAAACAAATACTTTGAAAGTCATGCAATGGCCTCCCCAATCTCCGGATTTGAATTCGATAGAATTGCTGTGGGATGAACTAGACAGACAAGAACGTAAACGTTGTCCTACATCTCAAGAACAGTTATTGAGAATATTACAAGACGAATGGCGAAAAATAACCTCATCCATTTTGTAAAAATTAGTTGCGCGCTTAAAAATATGTTTATTTTGATCATAAATAGTTGTATGTTATTAAGAATTAAGGAAAAATGTTTGATACAGGTTTTCTTTAATAATTTCCATCAGTTTCCTTGTTTTCTGGGTGTTCAAATACTTTTGAACGGTAGTGTATGTTCGGACTAAAAAACAAAAGTATGTTGACCCGTAACTCGACCAATTTAATAGAGTTAAATAGTTGTATTTTTAAGCTGATTCCCATAATTTTGTTACAAAAATGCCATTGACTAGGTATGTAAAAACAAGTTACTATTAGTGGGATTTGTAATTGTCCATCTGATTGTCCTAGATTTGAATCTTTTGAGATACCAAGAGTTATGTGTTTTTGTACATCTAATTGACTTGAACAGGTCAAAGAATGGGTAGACATAATTTCATGTTTTTTTTTTTATAAAATCGATATAATTTGATCATATATTCATTTATAAGCCATTTTGTAAAATGTGAGGAACGGAAGGTAGCAACAATTTGACAATATATTTACACAAATGTTGGAAATAACAATCTACAGCTTCTGCCCTCATATTTTAACTAGTTTTCTACATGTAAGGAAGTTGTTTTATTGTATTTTTTCCTCTAAAACCAAGTAAGATGCGAAATGATACCAAAGAACAAAGAAGTTATGGTGGCATACATTTTTTTGTCATTATTATTCGTGAGGCTGTGCCCCAAAACGCCACTGGTTGGTGATAACTCAGCGTCTTATTGCAATGAACAACTGTCAAAATTTAACAAAACAAGTATCTTTGAGATGTTAGTGAAAAGCCAAAATCTTTATAAAACTTCGACACCCTGTACCTTGAAAACCAGACATACTTATATTTTTTTTCTAGTTAAATTTGCTTCAGGATACGTCCCTGTAATTACGGTTTGTCATTAAGTAACACAAAACACTGAAGTATTTACCATTAACGCTTTTGTTCCAAGTGTTGAGATCTACAACATGCTAAATTTTTACGAAAATCGACAGAAAGCCATTTTCCATAAGGTTTTCGCGGGGTCTTTTGGAAAGTGTAAGAGACATTTTCAATTGGTAATCCCGCTGGGTTCAACACGACAACTCACAAAATAAAGTTTCGGATGAAAACTATTTATTAAACATCTATAAACATTATTAAATGTTTTAAACGGATTACCTCATTCATATTAGTGCATTTTTGCATACATATATAGCTATACAAAAATATTTACAAACAACTCGGAGACATGTATCAACAACCACATTAGTCGTCACCGAGAAACAAATTCCAATTCGAAGTAAGACAGCACAAAGTGCCATCTTGTGCTATGGCATACGCACGTTAGGTAAAAATTTGGAAGACTTAATTTCAAATTAGATTAACTATGGGGTGATCAGAAAAATCCAATGATTTTTACAGTCCTTAATCGTTCTCCCCAAAACACAGAATTCGAAACATAATTGCGTATTTAGCCTTTTTTGTCTTCAAAAGTTGATGTTGAAATTGCCCCCGTTAGATTAAGTTACAGAAGAGACACATCCCTAAGGATACAACTGTTCTTTCTTGATAGTGAGGTTTTCTCCAATCCTACTAACTATAGGCAGTTCAAACATTGGATCAACAAGAATCTCCTGTTTATAACAGTCACAATGCCCTAGTAATTGAGCTCTACCTTCGCGGCTGCTTCAGTGTGAAAAAATATGAAAAGGTATGAATAAAAAACAAATTATGGAACATCCATAAATAATTTATTGAATCATCTCTAAAGATGAGATCAACATTGCACAATGTAATTTCAAGGACAACTTCAATCCTATTTTTAAAATATTTATACAGTATCTACAGTGTCAATCACACTATCTCACTCTTATCTAATAATTATACGTGTATATATGCTCACAGTACGGTAGGTGTTGGTAATAAAAATTACTTTAAATTTCATTTTTCAAATGGCAATATTGACAATAGTTCGGTATTGTCGGCCTATCGACAATTCGTTTTCTTTTTCTGTAAATGAGGTGTGAACACATTGGCCTCAACACGTCTATGTCAACTGAAAAAACGTGGTCAAACAGCTTTTCTGGAAAAATTTCATCACCCGTAATGAATGTTTTAATTGTTCTGAATACCTAAATTATTCGGTTTAATTAAACTGAATTTTCTGGAAAGAGTTTGATTGAAAGTAATCTACTATTTAACTAATTTGCTGGAAAATAGCAAACCATGTACATGTTTTATTAAACTGTTCAAATAGTTTAGGTAATTTAGTTTATGTAGAAAATGTACATTAAAACAATTAAATATTTTAATAAAAACCAGCTAAACTGTTTATTTGAATCGTGGACTCGGCGCTTCATTCATGAACGATCGTGAGTATGCGACAGGCATAGCGCCTCGGTTTCATTTGTGATTTTCGTAACGAACTGTTGTTAGTGTAGCAGATCGAAGTGAAACAATTATGGTGATAAAGTGAAATTCTCGAGTATAAGGCGCTTGGTGACCCACATCCATCATTAGAATATGTCTAGGTCCCAATTAAACACTATGTACATAAGGCAATCACTGCTAACGTGAGAGAATGAGAAGAACTTGTAAATTTTATTTATGCAGCCACATTTAGGTCAATTTAGCATTTATAGCAAACATTTTCTTAACATAGACTTGATGTGCTATTCTTTTCGAAACAATTCTAAGATATGCCTTGTATTAAACGTGATATCGATACATTTTTTGTTATTCTTATAGTTCAAAGACTGTTGCGTCAGTGGTATATCACCATTAATACAATAAATGCTTTGATAAATGTTCTGACAGATTCATTGTGTATATTGTGTGATGTACTCGTATATATAGCAAGTGAAGCCTCATGTTGGGGCAATATTTGAAAATATCCTAGTTTATTTAAAGTGCGTCGAATTTATTTATATATTTCCATATGTCGAATGCCTGCGAGTACATATTGTTTTATTCTTAGATATGAAAGTACAATTTTTCTGCGCATCATCAAGTGAAATTATTCAGTTTCAGGTAACCCTTACTCTACCTACTGATTTTTCGGAAAATCTTATTCTGATTCGAAAATATCAATTATCAATATCAAATTCTCCAATTTTTTTGATACCTTAGATTTATCAGAGCACAGTTATATACATCATTCAGTAAAATCCAATTTGCTCTTTTAAATTCCAAATATTAACGAAATATACTTTTAAATCTAAATAAAATAATTGATGAAAACTAAGATAATACTTTTACTGAGACTGATTAAACACATTTAATAAGTAGAATATTAAATTGTTTTACTTGGATCAAGTAAGCTCTTCGTTTTGAAATTACCGCTTGAAGCGTGGTGAAACCCGGTAACCTAGGATTGCGTTTCAAGTGTGCACAGTCCGCGGTTTTTCACTAGATTTTCTATCTGTTGCAACTTCAGTTTCATGAAATGGTATTGCCAGTGTAAGTCGAATCTTACTTGGTTTGTTTCGTGCGAAATTGTTCTAAACATCGTAAAATGGTGCCTCGTGGAAATATTTCGATAAAATTCTCAATCAAAAGACTGACAAAAACAAATTTGTATATTCTTTCTCAATTCGATCATTTTCAACTTGATTATCTTGGAAAATCATATCGGACGGCTCATATATCAGCAAATTAGGCCGATATACTAATATACATATCGGTACCGGTCGATCATTAGTTGTGAGTTTACATGAAAAATTTCCATTTGATTTGTCTATACACTATTTCACGAGTATCAATCACGCTTTGACGTCTACGGAAGTGAACAGCTGATCAGCCAGTGACAGTTTTGTGTTAGTCTGCAACGTTGGCAATAATGAATCGGATATAAATCTAGTAAAACTTGTTTGTGACGTTTTGTTTTTTGTATGGAAATGAGCTTTTCTAAATAATAGAGCTGTTAGCAAGTACAAAATGAATCTGTAGCGTACAAAAAAGCAAAACAAAATACTTATTCACGGCGTTGACGGATCCGTCAGAATTATGTGCCCTGTGCCGATATGGGGAATTTTGAGATATTACTAGATACTCGGCTATCGTTCTACCGTGATGGATACTCGTGAAATAGGGTATAGGTGCCTGGGTCGATTCTGGTATAGACACGGGTATACAAGAACCTAGCAACCTCATGTTTTGACCAAAGACGTTTATTTTAGATGCACAGGGATAGTGGATGTGCGTTAGCAGCACGTCATTATTCTGGAGACATAGTTTTTATCTACTCGGGACAGTGGATCATGTGCAATGTGCGTCATCTCAGAACCGCCCCTGTAAATCATATCTGAAGCATTTTCGAGTCACCGGGTTTATGGATATCATGTCTGATTCTTTTTAAATACTTCCAATAGTCAAGGAAGTAACGGTTTTTATTTGCGAGCATCAGAAAAAACTTACTCTACTCGCTTAACTTATTTTGGAGAATTTTGAATTTCTGGTCGTCATTAAATCAACTTCGGCAGACTGTTCAGCCAATGGCACCTAAGAGAATGGAGAAGTTTCTTGATATTCAAAATCGCATAAGTAATGACATACCAGCAAAATATAGACTAAATATAATCAGCCAGTGAAAACATTATTGAAATCGACCAATAAATGACAGAGAAATTGATACTTAAATTTGGCGCATTATAGCTCGAAATCATAGCTGCCGTTCGTTCGCGTCTGACGTCACACTTCTCTAGTGCCCAGCGTCTCGTCGCGTAAGTGTTCGACAGCGTCTGTGCGTTTAGTCATTAGTCTATAGACAATTCATAAGTCACACCTGTGCGCTCGGACACGTTTCCAGTTGATAACTATTGAGCACTGCGTAAGTTCATACCATTATGGACGCCGCATGTGAAGGTACGTAGAAAAAAATGTTTATTAGGGGCTGTAATTGTTGTGCTCGTACATTTTGGAACGGTACAGTATTTATAACAACCTTTTTTTTTTTCTTATTTCGCTCCTAACCGATCGTATATGCAGTCAACTAAATAAACAAATTGGGTCGGAAGATGTTTAGCCTACCCTGTGTCTCCCTGTATGTGTGCCTATGCATGTGTTTAGGAGACTGAGTCGGCTCGGGCCCAGGAATCGCCGTCTGAAGTATGAGGTCACACGTGACGTACAGACGGAATAAAAATATTCTCGCGGGGCGCAACTTTGATGGGCTGTAACTTTTTTGTTTTTAGAGATAAATTAATAATTTTTTCACCATCTTGTTTCATTTTTCCTAAGCTTTCATTTGAGCTAATAACAAAAATGGTAAACTTGTCCATTAGATCATTTTTGATGGTTCTCTTGAAGTGCGCAAATATGTCATAAACCTGACGATAGCCACCTACAAATGGTTTGCCAAAGATGATTTCATCCTTCCATCCATTATCCATCTTGTATCTATCATTTTGTTAAAATATTTTGCTTTATTTGTTTTGTTCATCTCTCTATAGTTGCTTTATGCAAAGTGGAAGGAGGGATTTTAAAGTCATGTTTTCAACTTAATTAATAATATGATAATCTAACCTTTTGAGGCTGAATATAATTAAAATGAAAATGCAGCAGTCATTTATGCGAACGGTCCTATAATTTGCATCGTATTTTAATTAAGAAATTATTAAGAAAATATTAAATACATTAATATTCCATTTCAATTGTAAATACTTTTACCAAAAACGCAGTTTGATCCTAGATATCTGTAATATATGGCGTCTCATTCGAAATAATCTAAGTATACAAATTTTAGTTATTACTAGTTAAAAAAAACATGGCATCAAGATAGGTTTGATTTACCATCTGTAAGTATATCAATTAACTGTTATGAAATGGATTCGGTGGATATTTGAATAAGTCGACAAGTGCTTGAACCATCCCTCCTATATGCAACTAAGCAATCAGTCATGAAATCGTAACTCTGAGATAATACTAGACCGATAAATTTTATGCGTGGTATATAAAAATATTGCCAATTACAGCCAATAATCATTTATACTCATCCATCTATAATGTAATAGCATGTAATTCAATCGAACATTGATATAAAGGTAATTTGAAGTACACTGATTTCAAATGCGATTTCATGAGTTACCTCTTACACCCAATAATACCAAACAATGATCTCAATACCAACAATCTTAAATAAAGAAGGACTGGTGGGTACATAGAAATTTCACAGCATATGATAAAATAATGACCTTAAATAGAAACCATTCACATACATATATTTACAACTAGCCCATAGTTTAAACATACTAGGGTGAATCAAATATGAACCGGACTTTTGTTTTAGTAATTTTACTGGTATAGCAAATACAAGTTTATTTACATATTATTTTTCTAGATAATCTCCTCCCTTATTGATGCAATTTTCCCATCGGATCGGAAGTTTCTTAATTCCCTCATCAAAGAATGAAGCTGGTGGTGTCAGTAGCCAATTGTGCACGAACGTTTCCACACCTTCGTCATTGTCAAAGTGGTAACCTCTCAGTTCTTCTTTAAGTGGCCCAAACATATGATAGTCACATAGCGATAAATCAGGAGTGTAAGGCGTGTATTCAAGCGTTTCCCAATGAATTTCGCGTAATTTTTCTTGAGTCAATGCACCTGTGTGTGGCCGAGCCTTATCATGGAGCAGAATGGCACGTCCTGTTTTGCCTTTTTCGCCGATAGGCCAGTTTCACTTCTTTAAGCAGTTGGCAAAAGTAAGCAACATTAACTGTACGGCGATCGTGAAGAAAATCAACTAGCAGTACACCTCTGGTCTTGGCTTTTCGCGGTGCTGTCTCTCCAAGCTTTCGCCACTCCATGGAAAAAAATGTTTGCCGGTCGTATTCTTGTGTCCTTGAATGCGTCTTATAGCCGAACTGTGCGGTTAATCGACGCAAAATTTGTGAAGGTTTTACGCCCTCCCGCGACATAATTTTTATGATAATGCGTTGCGCAACAGATATGTGCACATCTTGCTCAGACATGATGCTACTAACATCTCATCTACTTCGGCGCACCAAACCGATTGACTCTCCTCTTCCTGACATCCTCACCCAACATATACCAAGACATCGCCCCACGCAATTCACCTATGGCGCGTTAAGCAGCAAAGTCTGGTTCACATTTGATTCACCCTCGTATAAGCTGTTGTCGCATTTAACAAATTTCCATTATATCCGTCATTGTCTAAACAACGTTCTTGACAAGACGATAGCTTTCTTTCTTGGCTATCTATGAAAATGTGATAGAAATAATGCATATATAATCAAGTGATAATTTCTCAATGATAATCTTACAGGAATTAGCACTTTTTGTACTCGCAGATATTAGATGTTACATGACATATACGTCTCGAAAAACCATGTCACTCAACCTTCAACCTCCTAGCTGTCTTTTGGTTGTCCGATCATTCTTGGACTGTCTCATAAATCGGAATACTCGTCGGATTTTTGCAAAGCTTTAGGCGGCAGAGTTATGATCGAAAAATGAAACATTTCAGACGGTAGGGTAGGTTCGCGTAAGAGTACGCGTTTTCTAAGAGTACGCAATCCCCAGAATTTTAAAATGGCGTGTTGCTGCCAGCTGTTTTCAGTCAGTTGTGTCCTTCCTTAAGCAGTGAATGTCGTGCAAGAGTTTTGAGACTATCCTAGAAGAATTAGTCGAGTTACGGTAAGAAATTTATTATAACATGTTTGTAATTTTTTTAATCTATACAGTACGCTATAATGTTGTAACCTTAAAATTTGGACCAAAATACCCATCAGGACGATAACACCTGATTCTTATTGCAGTCCCACTCTATGTCTGTCGCTGCTGACCGGCAGATCGACGGTGGCTGGGGAAAGATGACACGACGCCAAGACGCCAATGCTCTCAACCGATTCAACGCAGCGCAATAAGACGTTATATTTGTTTGTTACTTAAAATTGTTGGAATATATATTTATTACTGCAAGTAGTATTGATCGACTAGCGGCTCACCATCCTAGACAACATCAGAAGTGTGTGTTTTACGGTGGTTCCCAATTTTAGCAAATATTCTGCAGGCTGTTGTTTGCTCAGAGATTGGACAAGATGCCAAAGCAAAAGCAAAGGAAATCCAGAAAACGAAGTAGAAGAGAACCTTCCTCGTCTTCAACAACCAGTAGTTCTTCCGGCAGTTCTAGCAATAGTAATGGGCATAAACATAAGAGATCCAGGTGTAAGTCAAGGGAAACCGTGAGTAGCGAACATTATTCTACTTTTACGAGGGCCGATCAGGGAATACATATTTCGATGGTAATTCCAGAATTTGATCCGAAAATTAATGACATATCAGAGTGGTTAGAGGTTATCAAATATAATGCAGATATTTACAAGTGGCCTGATAGCTGTATTAAGTGTCATGCTTTGAATAAACTCAAGGGTACAGCCAAAACCTGGTATGACAGTTTCATTCAGGGTGACTTGGGGTGGTCTAGTTATGCTTGGGGCCAGTGGGAGGATATATTGAAAAATACATTCCAGAGTACACGTAATGCTTATCAACTGTTGATGGAAATGGTAAATCATAGACCCAGCGAAGGTTGTTCGTTATATGATTTTTGTTTTGAACACATAGCGAGAATAAATAAGTTACGAGTAGGATTTTCAGATTGTGACAAGGTATCATTAATTATAGGTGCTATAAATGACGTTAATATAACATCAGCTGTGGAGGCAGCAAATATTCGAAATCCTCATATTTTGGCGGCATATCTGAAGAACAAAACTTATACTGGTAGGGGCAAACCGTTAAAATCAGAGGTGCAACAGTCAATCAATCAAAGTGGTCGATTGGGAGCATCTGACAATATAGTCCGGTCAAGTACGATACATCAAAATGTAAATTGCACCACATGTGGCAACAGAGGTCACGAGCGGAATGATTGTAAACATAGAAATAAGATATGCAATTTTTGCGGAATTAAGGGGCATATTGAGGTGAATTGTTTCAAGAAACGAAAGAACTCAAGTGAACCAGGCAGATGGGATAATTCAACTAAGTCTTCAAAAGTAAAACAAAAAATTGAACAGGTCAAATTAATTAAAAGTCAGAATAGTGCTTCAAAATTTTTCAAAAAAATATTTCTTGATGGGAATTTAATAGAAGCTTTTGTGGATTTTGGTAGTGATTGTTCTCTAATAAAATTGGCAATAGTGCAGGAGCTAGGGTTAACGTTGAAACCTCTTGGGGAGAAGGTAACATTGTCAGGATTTATGGGTATAGGGACTGTTGTTACGCAATTTGTTGAGGTAATGACCCAAATTGATCAGGTGAAACTTAATACAAAATTTTATGTGGTTTCTAATGAAAGTGTAGACAATGATGTTCTTGTTGGGAGAAATTTCACAGAAAATAATACTATTATGTATTATCGTATAGATGACAAGTTGATATTCAAAATAAAGGACAAAAAGCCACAGTGGTTGCAAAATGTCAAAACAGGGGTGTTGTCAGAACAAGATAATAAGACTCTGCAGGATATTCTAATTCAATATCAAGGTTGTATATTTTTGAATTTGAATAATTTGGGGAAGGCACACTCTGTTTCATTAAAAATAGAGTTGGTCAATGACAAACCAGTCACTCATAAGGCCTATCGATTAGCAGAGATAGAAAAACAAATCATGAGAGGTAAGGTACAGGAACTTTTGGAGGCTAAAATCATACGTGAAAGTAATTCACCATATGCCAGTCCTGCTCTTCTGGTCAATAAAGGAACTAATGACAAACGACTAGTTGTCGATTACAGGGCGCTAAACAAAATAACTGTTAAAAATAATTTTCCAATGCCATTAATCGAAGAAATTATTGATAATTTGAGTGATTACAAGTATTTTACCTCGCTTGACCTAGCATCAGGTTACCATCAAATACCGATGGAGCCTGCTTCAATGAAGTATACAGCGTTCATAACACCTGAGGGGCATTTTGAGTACGTTCGTATGCCGTTTGGGCTTTGTAATGCCCCATTGGTATTTCAGAAATTTATGAATGAAATCCTTATGCCTTTAAGAAAATTTAATGTGGTTCCTTATTTGGACGACATCTTAATACCGTCAAAGACTATAGAGGAGGGGTTAGATTTATTGCCTAAGGTACTGAAAATTGTACAGGAGTATGGTATTGTAATAAAAATCGAAAAGTGTTCTTTTCTTACAGAGAAGATAGTTTATCTAGGATATCAAATCTCATACAATCAAATATCACCATCCAACCTGAAAATTGAAGCGGTGGAACAATTTCCTTGTCCTAAGACACAACATCAACTGAGACAGTTCTTGGGTCTCGTCGGCTATTTTCGGAAGTTCTTAAAAGATTTTGCGCGAATTACCGCCCCATTGACGAAGCTATTAAAGAAAGGAAGTCGGTGGTCTTGGACAGAAGTTCACACACAAATAGTCAAAGATTTAAAAGCCAAAATTTGTGCAGAACCTATTTTGGCAATATTTAATCCAAAAGCACTGACAACCGTATATACGGATGCTAGTCGTGATGGTTTTGCAGGAATTTTGATGCAAAGTACAGATGGTAAAGAGAGACCAATAGCGTATTTCAGTAGGCAAACTAATACCGCTGAGAAAAATTATCATTCTTTTGAGTTGGAACTATTAGCAATAGTCAAAACTTTGGAACGGTTCAGATTTTATTTAGTAGGCTATCAGTTCCAAATTTTTACTGATTGCAATGCGGTAAAGAACGCATTATCTAAGCAGTCGATAATTCCAAGAATTGCTAGATGGGTCTTGTCTTTACAAGAGTTTTCTTTTACCATTCACCATAAAGCAGGTACTCAGATGCAACATGTAGACGCACTTAGCCGAAACTTTAATGAATCTCAAAACAAAGCACAAGTCCTAGTCATCCAAGAAGATGACTATCTCAGGGAAGCACAGGATCAAGATGAATCCATAGTGGAAATTAAAAATATTCTTTTAAGTGGGGATGTTCAGAGTCACAAAGATGTTTTTAATAATTACGATTTAAGGGGGAACAAAGTCTATAAGTTAACACCTTATGGGAGAAGATGGGTAGTCCCAAAGAAGTGTAGATGGCAAATCGTCAAAGCAAACCATGACGATATAGGTCATTTTGCGGTTGATAAAACGTTAGAGAAAATTAAGCAACGGTATTGGTTTCCCAGAATGAGGCATTTCATAACAAAATACATAAATGCATGTTTACCTTGTTTATATCATAAAGATAAAGGGGGCAAAAGACCCGGGTACCTTCACTCCATCCCAAAGTATGCTAGACCACACCACACACTACATATAGATCATTTAGGACCTTTTGTGAACACAAAACAGGGAAACAAGTATTTAATAGTTGTTGTTGATGGCTTTTCGAAATTTGTGTATTTAAAAGCAGTTCCTGATACATCTGCAAAATACGTAATTCAAATGTTAACTGAAATGTTCGCGATGCTCGGTAACCCAAGACGACTCATCACGGATCTTGGATCTGCGTTTACTTCAAAGGCCTTCGAGGAATTTGTTGCTGCAAGAGGGATACGGTTATTTACAACAGCTGTTGGTCTCCCAAGAGGCAATGGTCAATGTGAGCGGACGAACAGAACAGTTCTAGACGCTTTAGCAACATCTGGTTCGCAAACAAGTGAAGACAATTGGGATACAAATCTTTCACATATACAACAAGGACTGAATAGTACTAGACACCGTATTACACAAAACACGCCCGCAGAAGTAATGTTTGGTTTCCAACTACGGACTGATAGTGACAAATACCCTGATGACGATATGGAAACAACTCTAGATGTTACAAAAATCCGAAAAGAGACAGCCAAACGTCTGGAACACAATAGAATCGAACAATATTTAAAATTTAACACTAAACGTTCTCTACCTAGGTTGTACCAGGTGGGAGATGTGGTATTAACTAAAGTAACCAGCTTTTCAGCGAATGAAGACAGTAAAAAGTTACGTCCTAAGTTTAGAGGACCATTCAAGATAGTTGAGGTTCTACCCAATGACAGGTATAGAGTGCAAGAAGATCGTTTCACACAGAGGTCAAGGCGACCATATCAAGCTGTGGTAGGTGTGGAACACATGAAACCCTTCAAAGTTCAAAATCAATAAGGTGAGTAATGAACTACTCAAATGTTACGCCCTCAATGGCATCTGTTCTGCTCTCAATGGCAAATGTTACGCCCTCAATGGCATCTGTTCTGCTCTCAATGGCAAATGTTACGCCCTCAATGGCATCTGTTCTGCTCTCAATGGCAAATGTTACGCCCTCAATGGCATCTGTTCTGCTCTCAATGGCAAATGTTACGCCCTCAATGGCATCTGTTCTGCTCTCAATGGCAAATGTTACGCCCTCAATGGCATCTGTTCTGCTCTCAATGGCAAATGTTACGCCCTCAATGGCATCTGTTCTGCTCTCAATGGCAAATGTTACGCCCTCAATGGCATTGTTCTGCTCTCAATGGCAAATGTTACGCCCTCAATGGCATCTGTTCTGCTCTCGATGGCAACTGTTACGCCCTCAATGGCAAGTTTTGCTCTCGATGACGAATGGTCGTCCTCGATAGCAAATGGTGTTGATGGCAATAGGTATAGGTGTTTCCTAAATAACTTAATATTTTCAGACGTTCGGGACGAACGTGACGTCAGGATGGCCGTGCAGTCCCACTCTATGTCTGTCGCTGCTGACCGGCAGATCGACGGTGGCTGGGGAAAGATGACACGACGCCAAGACGCCAATGCTCTCAACCGATTCAACGCAGCGCAATAAGACGTTATATTTGTTTGTTACTTAAAATTGTTGGAATATATATTTATTACTGCAAGTAGTATTGATCGACTAGCGGCTCACCATGCTAGACAACATTATGGATGATTTTCGCATATATAGTTTTAAGTTTTATTGGTTGCCCAAGGATCAAAAACGACCTTATTTCAATATATTGCGTTGTCCCTAAGAGTACTCACCCAAAGAGTACGCAATGCGAACTCTTACCCACACATGCATACTCTTAACTGTACTTGCGTACTCTTAGCAACATATTATTAATCGATCTGCCGCATCTTTTTGTGGGAGGTAACTATGTAATTTATAATTTCTAGATGGGAAAATATAACCGAAAAAGTAATAGGGAGCTTAAATTTAGCGAGGAAATTTTAAACGAACCAAGAGATCGCATTTTAAGGGGAGAAAGCAAAAGATCAATTACCAGGAGGTTTGGCGTAAATGGATGCACGTTAAGAAGAAGATTGAAAAAGGTAAATAATTTGAATTTAGCTAGAATTTTACTCCACTAACTGTTTACGAGTATTTATAGGGTACCGTTCCCGCTCAAGAAAACGAATTAGCCGGTCATATTCGAGACCTTAACGTAAGATTTTATGGTCTTTGTACGAAAGATGTTAGGTCTTTCGCATATCAGTATGCTGAATTGAACCAAATTGACCATCGATTCAATAAGGATACAAAACTTGCAGGAAGACATTGAGTACAATGCTTTGCAGCCAGAAACGCATTAAGTTTAAGAACACCGGAGAAATGCAACTTGGATAGAGCCATTGGCTCCTCTACAAAATCCAACCCGAACGTCCTCGAGTTCGTTCTGCGGGGCGGCCTTGGGCGCTGAACCGTGTGCGACCGTATAGGGGGGGCAAAGGGGTGCCGGTCTTGCGGTCGACCGCCTCGATCAGTTTTTGAGGAGACCCGCCGGAAAGCCGGTAGCCCGGCCAATCGAATGATTCATTGAGCCACAGGTGTCTCGGATGTATATCTGGGACGCCTGCAGCTCAACGGTCATGATGGGCAATGGTACAGGTACAGCAGGTCCAGCAGGCGGTCAGTGTGCTGATAGATGGGCTCCCAGATGACGCGGCCCTTCCCAGGTACATTGACTGCTACCTCTCTCGAGGGGCAGCCATCTTTGTCTGCGAGGACGAATCCTCTAGGGCATGGCTGGAGACCCACGTGGGGGATCTACGACCGTGGGAAGGCGCAAGGATCATTACGATGAGCTTTGGAGACCTTCCCATATACCACCGCGTGAAGGCCTAGTTCCCGGGTCCCAACCTGGGAAACGAGGTCATCATGAGGAGACTCAGGAGGCACAATCCTGGGACTTTTCCCAGCGCGTGGAGGCTACATGAGAGGACTCTTTATACAATAAAAGTTTTAACTTGCAAACAAAATGACAGATGATTCCCTCAAAACAAAAATGTTGATGGCAAAAGTCACAGCAGTGTTAAGTTGCAAAAAAGAGACCATTGACATAATAAGAAATCAAAAAATGATGAACCTAAGACTGATAGAGAAATCCGCAAGATCAAAAAAGGATCCTTCGCCAATCACAAGTGCAATGTCATGCATGGGATTAAAGTATCCAATATCAATAGATCAAAGAAAAGCAGCTGAGTATGAAATACCTTCTATGTACCTCCAAAAAGGAAAAGATGGAGAAGACAGACACACGCGTGGCAGAGTATTATGTAAAAAGGAAGCTATTGACTGGTGGGTCTCCCAGAGTCCTATTCCAAAACCTAGTATCCAGGAATCCATAAAAGTATTATACAGAGTCCATATGGAAGAGGTTGAAAAGTACTATGGAATCAATTGGAGTAGGGCCACAATCAAATGTCTGTTATAGAAAGACGACATGTAAGAACCAGAAACCCATTATTTGAGATTCCCAAACCCATCCAGAATTCTCTAATCAAAGAAACTCTTTTCCCTGATCTCACATTACCTGATAGACGAATAACCCCTGCAATGAGAGCAGAAGCTTCAATGTTAATAAACTTGTCTCTAGAAGGAAAGCTCGGAATTGCATCACAAATAAGAATATTGATGAACAATCTAGATCCAAGAGTAAGATGCCTCCCAACATTACCAGGATCTTCAGAGAGCTCAGCCACAATGAAGCACGCAATATGTCATTCAAACTTTGTAGTAACCAACATCACTATAGCAGACCGAGAGGCAATGAAGAAAGACACAATGAAACTACTTCTCCGTGCTCTCAGGTCCATAATATATGAAGCAAAGAAACACCGATGGGATCCTGGAACAACAAAAGAAACTATGTTGTCTTTCAAAATTCAAGGTTTAACTATAGAGGAAATACTACAAAATTGTAACGAAAGAAATTCAGTGGAGATAAAATTCGCCAGAGCATTATAATATGGTTATCCTGACACATTAGAGATAGAAAGGGATGGGTTTATACAATGCCCAAAGCTGTCAAATATAAGGATAATCTCAGCTCGAAACAAAGCAGGAATGCGGTTCTCATATAACTGTTCTGAGGAAATTGTAAACTTCAAATACGGGGATATCAAAGGGAACTACAGCCATGCCAATTGTATATTAATTAGTGCCTCGATGAATTACACATGTAAGAGAGATCTCATAACCACTCTTTCTGAAATAGCAATTTCTATCAAATGGAACTTCCAAAACACCAGAGGAACAGATAGAAGAAAAATTCATGAAGAAATAAAAAGACAAATTTCAAGAGAGCCGTGGACATTGATTAGTGCGTCTGAAGAATCATTCATTAGAGTAAACTGGTACGATGATAATGGAGTCCAATGCGGGTGTTTGACTATTAATGAGAATACAGAGTACCTCACCACTGGCAAGATAAACCTAAAAATTAGCAGAAACTTGAATCTGATGTTAGAAGGAACACATCAAGAAATTGAAGTAAGTGTTCAAAAAGACATGTTGAGATGCTATACAGAGGAGATAGAGTGTGGAAAGGGAAGGATGCTCCAGTATTTCACATTCAAAAAGATGATAAAAAACAGATACCAATTCTTTCTAGAGAGGTGGAAAACAGTTAAAGAAATGGTAGAAAATGGAAATTATAAATGGGAAAATGAATATATTAATCCCTATCTGGAATACAAAGCTAGACAATTATCAAAAGGATGTAGACAACTTCTCTCATGGTTATTAGTAGCAGGAGAATGGAACAAAAATTATTGTTGCTTCCTCTATATATTCTCCAACAAAGACCAACTAAATGTATATTCATCTTCAACTTGCATAACAACATCAGAAGGATATACACTAGACTTAAAGGCTGAAGACGGTATTTTCATATATGACCAAAGCAACACGACATACAGGCTATTCGGATCAAAAGCACCTGGTCCATCTGAAAAAATAGATATAGGTGAAACATTCAATGGCTGCTTGACCGGGTATAAGATAACGGCTGAAAGGTTCCCCAATACAAAAACTTCGAGCCTAAGAAAACTAGAAGAAAAGTATGAAGAACTAACTGATGGAGACATGTTCAAAGTATTTATAAATGGGGAACAATACACAGCAATAAGAGACTCATCATTAGCTTTCGTTCATGTCCAGACAAACAGCAGACAAGTAGGGATATCCGCAGAAAACATCGCGGCGGGCCCTGCGATGGATCTGGCCTCAGAGGGCAATGATAGCGACTCGGACGAGGACGGAATCCTGAACCGAGTCCGAGAACTCCTCCGTGGAAGCGGAGATGAAGGAGGCTGCGACAGTGAAGACTGCGGCGGCGACAGCGGTACGCCCGAATAGGGGACACATGCCGCCATTCGGGAAGGTGTAGGAGGGGCCTCTCAACACCCATGGTAAGTCTTAATTTCATTCAAATTAACTTACAACACTGCATAGAGGCTTCGAGGCCCCTTACTCAGGAGATCACTCGAGGCCGACATGACGTGGCTCTCACCGAGGAAACCTGGCTGAAAAACGGTTCAGTAAACGGGCTTAGTATACCGGGCATAGTATACCGGGCTTAGTATACTGGGCTATACGCTTTTTAGCGATACTCCGGACACTAAGCCCAGAGCTTGCGTAATGACTTCCGTTAACACTTGGCAACATAAAGAATTTACCTTCAGAGACTTAGTTGCAGTCAGAATTAGAATAAGAATAAGAAGGAAGGCAGTGACAGGGACTTGGTCGTATGTTCGGCTTACCTTCCTTACGATTCAAGAGAGCCTCCTCCGTCCAAGGAAATGGGGAGCCTTGTCGCATTCTGTAGGGGTTCTGGACTTGACCTCGTGATTTTATGCGACAGCAATGCCCATCACGTTATGTGGGGCAGCTCGAACACCAACAGACGGGGCGAAGACCTCATGGAGTTCCTAGGGGCATCGAACCTTGAGGTTCTAAATGTCGGTAACATGCCCTCTTTCAGCAATAGTGTAAGAGAAGAGGTTATCGACGTAACACTGAGCACGCTTAACTTAGCTCAGGACATCAGGGACTGGAAAGTGTCTCTAACACCCTCTCTAACGGATCACAGGTATGTACTGTTTAAGACTAGTGGAGAGATTCCGGATAAATATGCTCGGAAACTTAGGCATACTAGATGGGGGTCCTTTAGGGCAGACATTGGCAGTAAGCTTGGAGCGGTCCCATACAGACTTTGTAGGGGCTCTGACAGAAGCAGCTGTCGAGTCTCTTTAGCAGGGACTTGACGGCTTCATATGAAGAAAACTGCCTGTTAAGCAAAGTTCAAGGTAAGGGCAAGGCAACCTTCTGGACCAAAGAATTAGAGGATAAAAAACGAGCGGTGCACAAACTTCTTAGCAGTGTTAAGCACAGGAGAAGCTCTCCTCTATGGGAAGACTACAAAAAGGCATTACAGGAGTACAAAAAGGAGATTAGAAAGGCCTCCAGAGAATCCTGGAGGTTCTTCTGTTAGTCCATAAACGACATTCCTGCTACTGCGAGAATACACAGGGTCCTATGCAAAGACATTAAAGCAAGATTGGGATCTCTGCATGATCCCTATTCATTCAGTCGGTCAGTCAGGGCTATTGGCTTCAATCAGGTTCAATGTCAAAGATTTTTTGATAATTTCAAATTAGTTTACGAAAAAACAAAAGCTCCACCCCATAGAATTTTTAATATGGACGGGACAGGGTTGTCTACCGTTCCATATAAAATGCATAAAGGGTTTTCCACAAAAGGCAAAAGAACAGTTTCGAAAGTGGTGTCTGCTGAAAGAGGACAGTTAATGACAGCAGTCTGTTGGGTGCCACCAGGTCTTATCTTTGCACGAAAACGCATGAAAGACGAGCTTTTTTATGGAGCACCACCAGGTACCCTAAAAATGTACTCTGATTCTGGGTATATAAACACTGACTTATTTATAACATTTCGCCATTTCTCGGAATATGTTAAAACCATCAGAACAAGATCCGGTAGTGCTGTTCTCTAGAAGCGATCTTGTTTGCTAGAAGTCACTTCATTACCCTCTTGACATTGCCTCCCCATGCAAGCCACAAGATTCAACCATTGGACAGATGATTTTTCTTTCCATTGAAATCAGCTTTTTCTTCGGAATGTGACAAATGTATGGTAAATCAGCATGGGAGACCAATAACAATGAAGGAAAAGGCAGCACTTTCTCATGCTGCCTACTCAAATTAGCCACGATTCAAATATGTGAAAGCTCTTTTGCGTGCACTGGACTATACCCATTCAATCCGGATATCTTTTCTGATGTGGATTTCGCTCCAGCCGAAGTAACAAACAGACCTCTATTAGATACTGAAAATGCTATCAATACCGACTCTAGCGATGACGATGATATGCCTCTGTCCGTATTTGTAAGAATTAAAGATAACATCAATTGCAAAGCCACCGAAAATAGAACATCCAGTCAAAGTCCAGTTTTTAATCAAAACACAACTGCAACTAATACGCCTGTTGTTGATCTTAACGTACCAGGCCCATCACACGTTACCCCAGGAATGATTGTACCCTTACCGAAAGCTAAACATGTGCAGATACGAAAACACAAGTCAAAAAAGCCAGAAATACTTTCGTCTACACCGTATAAGGATAAGATGTTGGAAGAACAAGAAGAAAAGTAAAAGAAAAAAGCCGGCAAAAGAAATGTCTTCGGATCTTGCTCTGGAAACGTTCCAAACCCCACAAAAATAAAGAAAACGCCAACTGCTAAAGAAGATGATTCGATTTTCCCTGGATGTAACGAACATTTTAGCATATCCCAGTGGATAAAATGTGACAGCTGTCAGATTTGGTAGCACGAAGACGTGTTTACTTGCGATTCTTAATTGTTACACTTAGAACATTTTACAAAAGAATAACTCTTAAAGTTTCTTATTAGTTAACATTCATATATGCGTACTCTTTGGTTTATATTCTGCGTACTCTTTGGCACATGCGGCCTTAAAGGTACGCATTTCATTTTTTCATTATTTCCCTTACAATGTCTTTAAACTGTTTATCGCGATGAGTTCGTAATATGTGTTAGTATAGTATAGAAGTTATCGAATTTTGAATAAAAATTATTTCTAAAATAAACAGTTAGGTTTTTATTTCAATCTAAAACTTAGGTGCGTCCTCTTAAGCGGACCTACCCTACTGAAACTGCGTTTTTCCGTGTTTTTTGTGCTTCTGATCATTTTTAAGAGTAGCCAAGAAGCTATTTGAATGGGCAAGGTATAATAAATTCGAAATTCAGCGTTTTTACAAAATGTTTGTTAATTTAGGGCATACCCAAAAAAGCAAAACGCTTCAGGCATCACATCTTATACAGTCATAACTGGAAATACAAATAATGTTCTTACAGCTAGATAGATTTAGGTTATCAATGCCTGGGAAATCACCTACACTGGAGGTGGATGTAGATCACCCAGGAATTGAAAAGTAGATATTTTCTACAAAAGACAAGAGAGAGAATAAGTCAGTCAACATTTCATTTGTATGATTTTAACTCTATGATTAGCAAGATGCAATATAATGAAAATATATTTTACGCAGATTCACAAGTATTAAACATCTAATGAAAGCATAAAAACTATATTTGATCACTGTAACTTCATAAGATGATCATTAGTATTTGAAAAGTTTGGATTCGATAGCGTTTCATTCAGCAAAATGTTGCATACTTCAGATCACATATGAAGACAACATGATTTTTGTGAAGTTCAGAATTCAATAAGGACTTTTCCTATGTAGTATAATTTGCTACACTCACATGCCCTTATTTGTCTCAAACACCCAAAAGATTCACAAAACAACGTTTACTGTAATGTTCACCATCATTAGCAAAAGTTATAATGAGAGCATGTAACAATTTGAAGTTATTTTAGCAGAAAAAAATGCTTGACTAGATGTTGCACATATGAACTTATAATTTTTTTATTCATGCTCTTTAAATACAATGAACTATTCAAATTAATTAGTCTGATAAAATAGAACATATAAGGTAAATTGAGCATGTGCAAAGAAATACATTCTATTTCATTTCAATATATATATTAATAATTCTAGATTTTTCCAATATAGTACAATTTAAAAAACAAATGCAATATGTCTATAAAAGGGAGTAGATCATCAAATACATGATTGGTGCCAAAATAACCACAAGTCTAAAATACTGACTGATATACAGAGTTTTATAAATTCTTATGACACTACATAAGGGTAACACATAAAGTAGAACATTAATATTTGAAGAATGTGAGCTGAAATTTCTTCCAAAGTAAATGTGGAAGATGTTTGTACAGATATTAATCCCTCATCTTGCCCTACAGGGATAAACATGATTGGGAATAGATGAATAAAATAAACATAAGAAAGAAATAAATAGTACTATAATTTCATTATCCTGTATCAGCAACATATATTCCAACTGGTTATTAAAGCATCATGAAGATTCAAAAATTGATTATATCCATGCTTTACCTAAAGCACCTCTAGTTGATACTCATCATTCATGAGACAGATAACAGCAAGTTGGTTGCAACAAAGTGTGAGTTTTTGAAAATTTACATGGGTGAATATACAGTATTTGGGATTTCAATGTTCCACCAAGAAAGTATTAAGCACATCCAAATAGTGTAAAATATCATGCTTTACTTGGAGCATATGATGTAACTAAGGTATCCATTAAGATTTATGCACAATATGTTTGAAAATTAATAAAATGTATACTCCCCTAGCTTGGTCCATTCTTGGCTTTCACTACAAATATCAACAATTCTCACATTATAACATACATATTTTCACTAAACATTAGTATGAATGCATGAAAAGACACGTTTTAAGTGGTGTCTAAAAATTGGATCACCCTCAATTGGCACAATTGATATTACATATTCTCGTGATATGACCTTGTCCAATGCATAGCGAATCAAGAAATGCAAGTTTGCAAACTGCCTTCCACTTTTTGTCATTTCTTCACAATAAAAAATGTAAACAATGAAAGCAATAGCTGCAACCTGCTATCATAAATATTTGTAGATTCCAGAGGCAACCATTCTCCTGAGCATCTTGAGCTCTCAGTTTATATGATTCTCGTGTTTCAAGACTGGTCAAACTAAAGACTTGTTGTTTTGAATACAGAACTGTTGAGTTGGTTTAGCTAATAGTATTAATATCATGTTTAAAGTATATTTCTCACAGTTTAAAAGTCACCCCCCTGGACACACATTCTCTCTCGTACCTATAAAAGCTGCAATGTATATGAAACAAAAATAAGCTATTTTTCTTAGTTGACACAAAACCCAAATACCATTTATTCATCCACATACTACTATAACAAAACATACCTAATATCACTCATATATAGCTATGTATTAAAAACCCTGTTTTGTACTGAAATACAGCCATTGCTATACAATCTCCATCTTTGTCTGTTTCTCATTGGTAGGTAGAGGAGAATATGGTGGAGCCTCCTTCCTTTTAAATGTCACATACGTATACAGTAAGCTACCTAGTACACTCACATTGATACCAATGAAGTTGACCCAGGAAAAGATGTAGTCACCCCCTATCACCATGCCAAGATAGGTAACACAAATGTTCTTTAAAGTTCCTATAATTGTTGTTGTTAGTGCAGAATTGTACAATGTGCAAAGTATCACACTGTAGGAAAGGATGAATCCCATAACACATGAGAGAATAAACTGGATAAGAAATAGCAAATCATTCCAATATTTGTAGTTATATGCAGCCTCCAAATCTCCTGAGTAGTAGGCAAAGAGGGTCGCTGGTATAATCATAAACAGTGAGTTGTAGAACATCAAGCCATATTTACCCAGCTCTTTAGAATCTAGTTTCTTCTTCATGTAAACACCATTTGTAGCAGTAAAGAAATTGTTCAAGAAAATGAAAATATATCCTATCAGGTTGAATGCTAGATCATTCATAGCGGCTACTATGGCTCCGATAATCATGAGATAAACACTAAATTGAATGCTAAAGCTTGGTTTGATACCAAGAATGTATAATTCCAGGATCATAGTCATCAGAATGGAAAATCTTCGCAGGGCTGTGAACATTGGAAGACTCAGCTGTTTTGTGCCCCCTAATCCAAAGAACATGTTACCAATATAGATCAAAGGTAGCGGGAAGATCTTCTTAAAGGTTGCTAGCTCCAAACCCGGATATGAGACGATTCTCAGCTTCTTGGCCAGAAAGAGCAAAACAATCGTTGCGACCATTTGGCCGATTCCAAGCACTTGAAATGAAGGGAACTCATAACTAGTAAGCACTGTTTTGTTAACCACTGTTATCATAAACGATGCCACACCGTAAAAAACCGCTGAGAATACTTTTAGACAATATAACGAATGCTCGCTGATTTCTTCTTGTGATTTCACCATTTTCACCTCTTGCGCTCAGATTTGTACGAAGAACTTTTCAGTGTGCATGTCATAGCGTGCTAGTAACAGTATACTGATAATTTTTCTCTACAAATTTACACATTTTACTGATAAAACTTATCAATCCGAAGATAATTGTTACTCTTGTCACGTAGTCTGTCAACGTCCCTTTTTCCTAAAATATAACCTTGTAATCGGGAAGAGTTCATTTTCGATTAATACAAAAAAAAGTAGTACTCACCGAGAGTGTCATCGATCAATTATTTTATTTTGGGGATACTTTAATAAATTATTATAAGAATCACTACGTTATTAAAGCAAAATTGGAAATTAGAATTTGAATTTTACTACGTTTCTAGGTTAATTTCCCACAGAACACTGAAAACATAAAACATATACACGGAACCTTAAATGAGTGGCAGAGAGCAAACATGACAACGGAAGCATGCGTCAGTAATTGAGATTGTACATAAGCATTACTTTGCTTGCCAACCACCATTTTACTACCCTGTACCCTGTAGTCTGTACTTACCCTAAAACAGAATCATATTAACTTTGCTCCAGCAAAGGCATGGAAAACGTTTAAAACTACACGCACATACACACTTCAAAATATTCGTTCCCGCTGTTCATGTTCTAGTTTATTTTATTGATGTTCGTTGTTCTAGCTTCTTTGGTGTTTGTTCGGAACTTAATTGTTCCTTGAAAAATGTGTTCTAAATAAAATTAAGAACATTAATTTAATGTAGCAGACAAGCTTGGGCATGCGAAGTTGAAAGTCAAGCAACTGCGGATCCAGGATTTTGTTCAGGAAGATGTTCTTCTCGTCTTCGGGGAGGGGCGGGACATCAGTGCCTCTGATATAAAAATTAAAATCTTGACTGGCGGACGGATGGCAGATGAAAACCCTACCCTTGTACCCTTAGGGTACAGCCTGAAAGTGATTAAAATATTAAATCTAATTTAAAAATGAACAATTTATTGTAAAATAACAAAATTAATTCTTCTTTTTTGTCTTCCTGCGAATCGATTAATTTTAATACTTACGATCTCCTTTGAATCCAGTACAACACCTTTTTTATGATTTTGTCCGTCACAGTGGCGGATTTAAGTAATGGCAAAATGGACATTGCCGCCTGGGTCTCCCAAGGAAGGGTGGTCAGTGGTCACAGGACCCCCCGAGCAAAAATCAGCTCTAGTGTCTATATTGTTCAGCGCGTCTGAATGTAAAATTGATAACAATAAATCAGTGTGTTGTTATATTCTTTTAATGACCATCTGCGTAATGATTATGAAACAGCGCGTTAGCATTCAGTTTGAATAGGAAAACTTCCCTTCCATTTCTTAAGAAATGTTTTGAAAAATGACCGAATGACCCTTTTATTTCTCAAGGAGTAGAGGGGTTATTTTTTCATTTTGTGCTTACAGTGATATATTATTACCTGTCTTACCTGTCATATAATGTTCAGTAAATAAATATCTTCGTGGTATGAATCAGCCTCTTTCAGTCTAATAAAGACTCTAATGCGTCTATTACAGTCTTTTCATGTCTTCAATGCTTATAACCATAAACTTTCACAATGCTGTGCATTTTTTTATTTGATCGCATATCTATTTCGTGATAATATCGTGAAAGACATTTTTTTAATGTATTAGCAATTGCATAGAAGATGAAATTTCAAGAGTAGGAGCTTCTGGCGAAGATATAAGCAGCAAGATCTGTCCTTTACTCCATGAACTGGGCCTTTTTCCTCAATTTGTTTTGGTGGCATTCAGTATTGAGCGTAATGAATACTGAGCAAGTTCAAATTAAAAAAAAAATAAAAGATTTGTGGAGCGAAAGTACATACGATAATTTTGTTCTGAAGGCTAAGAGTAAATGGGAAGACATGGAATGTGAAAATCCTGGTTTTCCCATTGTTAGAAAGAGAAAAATCAAAAAAATGTTCGACGAAAAAGCTGTTGACTCGCCACTGGAAACACACGAAAAGCATCGAATAGATTACTACGAAGTTTTGGATTCAATGAGTAACGAATTGCAAGAACGTACTGAAGGATTTCGTGAAGTGAATGATGTGCTTGGTTTTTTGATACCAGAGAAATTAGTCAATCTAAAAGAAAACGAATAAGAAACCATCGTCACTAATTTGTTAGAAAAATATTCGGAATTTTTCACTACAGATCTAAGATATGAATTAGCCAGTTTTACGAGTATGTATTTTTCGGAAAATCGTAATTTTACTAATGACAACCCGCTAGATAATTTGAAGTTCATGATTGCAAACAATTTTGTAGAAATTTTCCAAAGAGCTGCAGATTATTTTTGGCTAAAGACACACTCGGCAACTTCTCTATCCTCTATATCGAATAATTTTATGCAAATTCTATAAATAGCGTGCACTCCTTTGACTCGACGCCCTTTACTTATCGGTTGCATCCGAGATAACTTTTAAACTCTATTATGCATAAGAAGTTTGCTGGCGAATCATCAAGTTTAATTTACTTCAAAAAATCACGATGCGGATGCGCATTACAACGTGTCCCGTGCCCGTACGCACTATTAAATGCAAAAACCAGGCTGGTGTACGATTGCACTAACATGACATTACGCATTAAATTTTGATATTAATTTCTGAGTTATCATGCAACTTTCAAAGTTTCCATTGACGTATTTTATTAATATAATTGCAGTAATTTATGTTATTTGCAAAACAGTTATAGTGCGCACTATTTGCCGTCTGTCCCCGATCATACCACTGGCCCCCCAGCGCATATTGCCGACCGGCACGGGTATTACGTATCTTGAAAAGTGAAATTATGCCGATTTTTTTTTGACATTATGCTGTTTTTTTACCTTATGTACGTTTTTCTACAAGATATTAACTACGCACTTAGTTGTACGTGTTGCCTAAACGTCATGAGGCTTGTTATCAATTTTTGGCTCTGATGTGATGTAAAATCTGCTTCTGAGATGGCATTACTAGAGGTCAAAGCTGTAAGATGTATGTGTTGATGCTACTTACATTTGGTTCTTGTGTCAAATACACTTAACTGAGATTCAAAGCTAAAAATTAATTGTGCATCCACTTTTTCTTATCCATTCTGGAAATTACATATACAAATTTGCTGAATTTAAAAAATGAGAGAGATTCATAATTATATTCACTGTACACTGTCGAATTACAAGCCATATACATGCTAACAGTAAATACACACAACGCGGGCGTGGTGATGATTTCCCGTAATTCTCCTTAGTTTTTCGTGATTTATAACTTTGAAAATAACCCCTCTTCAGAAAGCACAACATAAAAATAACCCGTCATATTCGGCATATTCAGTAGTGATTTTGTCACACAGCAAATATCACTGATTTTATACATATGCAGACCAATACACATACCTAATCATCCAGATGCGATTTTGCTATTCAACCAACCTTCTTCTCAGAAATAAAAACTACAGACCCGGATTACTAAGCCTCACAAAACTATGCAACCAATAATGCGTAGTTTAGTTGAGTGATTCCTGCATAGATGGACGTTCACAACGATCCTAGTGAGCAAACGTGGAATGACTGTTTGCGCCCTAAAAACTACCTAGTCTGCAAGTTGACATCTTATAGGTTTTCTTTGACGTTGTATAGGTTTTTTACATGATACCCGTGCGGGCCCTTCTCCTTAAATCCGCCACTGGTCCGTCAAAATGTATCTTTTATCAAATTTGCTTAAGCGCGCGTAAAGAAGTTTATCCTACATCAAGCTGACCGCATAGGCAACCAGTCTTGCGCTATCATCTATGAGCTTACAGTTAAATCAAAGTTGACAGATGCAGTGCTGTAAGTGTTTTGTAGAAAATACCAGTACGGCATCCATTTAATATGTGTGCATTACAGATTTATCTAAGAGATTTGGAACTTTAAAAATTGGTGGTTCGCCTGGGGGGGTCATGTTCCCCATGACCCCGTCCCCCCTGGATCCGCGCCTGAAGCCAAGTCAGGGATAATTATGGATATCTGTTCTTGTTTGTGTTCATGCTTGTTTGGTTTGCATCAGTTTATGAATTTAATTTACATTTGAAAACAAAAAAATTTAAGATAATTGCTTTTCTTGTGAATATGTATTATAGAACCTGCTGTGTTTTTCCATTTTATTATAACGTACCACCAAAAAAGCTGTAATTTTTCATATTTGGTAAACACCAAATAAAATTCAAAACTCAACACTATGTGCCAAAATTAGCAGGTTGTAGGTTACAAATGCACAGGGAACTAGGAAATAAATCGTTCCCGCGGGGTCGGTGCTAGTTCTGTTCAGTCATGCCACTGCTCCGAGAAAATTTCCTCAACATACTAGATGAATACCCAACATTTTTTGAACTAACGTCCATTCACAGCTTCAAAAGAGAATTCAAAACAATGCTACTACAGTTACAATCTGGTTACAATTTACTGAATCTACAAATGGTTCTTATATGAGGTGTATATGATATGCCTACTAAGATGTAGTATTGCATTTAATAAATAATTTTTTTCTGTGAGACGAAAAAAGTGTGACATTTTATCTCTGCTGACAGGTAAGAAAATGTCACTTTTATGAAATTACTTTTTTCCCGGGGAAAACAAAGAGTACTTTTTCCCGGATATTGTATAAACATACAAACATAAGCAAAGGTAGATATTTAATTTTAGAATATTTTATTATACAATAAAGTTACATTTCCTTTATATCAAAAGTACAATTATTAAATGTGCATTGCATGAATGACACGTCCCTTAAACTATTCGGTACAACAGTCGAATTCTCTTGTGTTGAAATTCTATGTTTTTCTGCCATTATAACTCCCGTTGATGTACTTGGTCGCAAATCTGGTGTTATTTCAGCACTACCACACGTTCGAAACACTTTATTTTATTA